CTAATGCATGAAAATCCTAACCTCAAAAAAATCACCCGTTACAACCTGATAACCAGGGAAGCGTGAACAACCACAATGATACAAATTTAGCTGCTAATATATATACACAGCTTTTGAGAATTTGTGACTTAATCTCTAACAACAATTTCCAAAACCCACCGAAGATAACATGCGACAATCTGTTATCCCAGGTGACGAAATTAAATTAGTAGCTTCAGGTTTGCATAAATTAAAAACTAATTGTCCTAAATGAAGACGTTTAAGTAAAAAAAAGACAAATAAAAAATATTCAAATAATATCAGAACCTATAAAAAGTACAATTTTGACTTGTCTGAGTTTTTATTTCGATCTTGAACTTAGCACTCAAGATTTCAGTTTCAGATTTTTAAATTAAATTAAAAGCAATGGGAGTATGTGGAGCTCCACGAACATAAAATTCAAACACAAAACATAGACATGTACCAATTAATGAGTTATGTAATACATATATATTAATTTTATTTTACAAATACATACCGACTTTCCTCTGAAGTGCATCTAAACTTGCTGCTACTCCTCTTACTTTACCCAAGCGATTCCTTTTATTATGGTTATGTGCAACTTACATACAAGTATACACGCAGAAATACTGCCTGCCACTTCGAGTAGCGTCCTTGTTCGACATTAAAACCAATAAAATACTTGCAGGCATACATTTTAGCTAATTTTGTAATCACTGCATTANGTGGTGCTACCGATTAGCATTTTTCCATGGCACGTCCTGCCCGCGACTCGACACTGCGGGTGGCGTCCTTTTTCTATATTAAAACCAATGAAATACTTCCAGACATACATTTTAGCTAATTTTGAAGAACACATATTCACTGTATTCACATTAAGATGAATAACTTTTTTTTCACTAACTTATTTTAATCGAATTGCATTTTACACTTGACACTTTGTGGCATTTTTCCATGGCACGTCCTGCCCGCGACTCGGCAGCGCCCTTTTTCTATATTAAAACCAATAAAATACTTTCAGACATACACTTTAGCTAATTTTGTAGAACACATATTCACTGTATTCATATTAAGATGAATAACTCTTTTTTCACTAACTTATTTTAATAAAATTTCACTTTTTCACTTCAAACTTTACAGTACTACCGACGGACACGGAAATTGCCGCGAAACTAGTTTTTTTCAGAGGAAGGAACCCACATTACAGGGTTGCATCGCATTTTTTCAATACTATACAGTGGTGGATTAAAGAATTAGAACTAAAAGTTTGTTTTTTCTTACTGTCGGAAAGGAAATTGTGGGAAGGTGACCGCAAATACTGTTGTTTAGCAAATTAAATTGGGATTCATTCTCTTTCATAAAAGTTTTATTGCTTGCTTTTGGCTATTTTAATTTCTTTAAAATATAAAATTTGCTTTAAAAATAATTGCATTTGGTCAGCGACTGTAACCAACAGATGGCGCCAGCGGCGTGTGGATTTTGTGGAACTTACAGATGACACTTCAATAACCTCAAAAGCGGCATAGTGAAAAACAGCTGTGATTAAACGCGCAAAATTTTTGTATAGTTGGTCGTTCTTTGGCAAAACTAGCTATTTATTATACCTGCTGTTTTAAATTACTAATTATTAACGTATTAATTACACGTAAACAATGCAGTGTTTACAAAAATATTGGTGAGCTTCTTTGGACTATATTTAGTTGCCTTGAATTAAACGAAATTTTCATACCAGCGGCTCGCCGAACAGATTGGTGGAACGCGGCCTTGATTTGCATCTGCGTGCAAAACGCGCCAAAGATTGTCTGCGTTGGGGTTCTTTGAATGTAGTGTTGCTAGCAATCCTGCTTTTCGACATATCTAATCAGTGTCCATATGCGTACTCCAAATGGTACTATGTAGAATATTTGGCTGCTGCGCTATCGGGACTTGGAGCATTTTCATGCTTCTTAAAGTACTTTCTCTACCTATTCCATACAAATCCGATATTGGGTACAAAGGAACAGAAAAACTTACTCAAGTTTGATGAGTGTGGTAAGTAGCGAGGCATTAATCGACGGAAATATGTACATATGCATACATATAATGCAATCTATTTGGCTTGCAGATTCCTCATTTGTTGTTACACCACCAGCGCAAAGAAAAAAGCAATCATGCGATGATTTGGCGCCTAGTCAAATCAACAACACTCTTCTGAGCTGGCATTCATCGTTTAACGACTGTAAATAAATAGATTTTTTATGTTTATTTGTTATTTATTAATGATTTCATGCTTGTATAGCTCGCACTGCAATGTCTCACAACTGGAGTTACAGCCGCACTACGCCGCCACGTAC